GCGTGAAGCCATAAAGTAGTTCAAATAGTGACTTGTCAGTGGACGCCTGAACTTGAGAGTTGTGAGCAAACTGGGCAAGTGGGAGCCAGTCAACCCAGTTGTCTTGGTGGAAGTTGCAGAACACGTGCAAATATTGTTCCAGTTCTTGATTGAAGTGTTCCGTTTGGCCATCCGTCTGAGGGTGGTAGAAGGTGCTGAGTGATGACTTGACCCCAAGTTTGGTGAGTAGTGTGCGGGTAGTTTCACTAGCGAACTGGCTACCACAATCAGAGATGAGTTGCTCCATGAGGCCAGTACTGTATTTTTTCAATCATAAGTTCGTCCCCTGTCTCCAGGCCCAGTGAACACGGACCTATAGGATCATTTGTCCCTGTTGGAGAGGGCCGAGGGTCTCGGTGAGAAGGGAAGACCTCGGGCCAAATGCCCTCGTAGGATGATGATGGCTCTGCTCTACGACAAGACGCGCCCTTTCGGGCGATGCTGACTAAGCTACACGCGGCGACTCGCGCTCTATCCGGCTCTCCCTCGTCCTCTCTCTACTCTCCCTCATGCCCTACTCCATGTGCCCCCCACTAAAAAAAGCGACGTCCGCGTCGCTACGTGCGAGCAGAACGCTTCCGCAGCCTTCCTGCCCATGTCGTCCGGGGTTCAATGATTTCGTCCTCGACATCTCCAACACCGGCCTCAATCCCGTCGGGCTCATCGTCGCCCTCGTCCACCCGTTCATCACCCTCGTCCTGTGGTTCGGCTTCGTCCTCGTCATTTGAAGGGACGACGGGCTCGGTGTGAGCGCCATCCAGCAACGATGCTGGGACCTCGGATGTAGCTGTCGGGGGTTGCCGTATGCGCTGCATGTGTGTCGCTTGCGCAGCCGCTAGGGCCGTGCCCTCGCGTGGGGTGAATGCTCGCAAGCGTCGCGCACTGAATTTGCCCTTGAGCGGGACACCCGCGCACGTCTCCAGGATGTACGAATTCCGGATCCGTTCGCGAATACGGTGTGGTTCGGACCAAAAGGCAAGTAGTTTGCGCTTCGTGTGTAGGGTGTATTCGAGATCACTGCAACAATACTGAACCAATTGTCCAACAGTGAAAATAATCTCACCACCTTCTCGTTGTACCCGTCGGTCGAAGGCCGACTTGCGCCGCCACGCGTTGAGCACCGTGTTGTCGTTGGCGTCGAGGAGCTGTTGCTCGACGTAGTCCTGCTGTAGTGCGATGTCGGAATCGGAGGGCTCCTGAGTAGTCGACGACAGTGGTGCTGGGGGAGAGTTGACAACGATGCCGAGCAACAGCTCGCGTGGCGTGAAGCCGAGGCGGGGTAGGATCCGGTTGTTCAGCATGAGCACGGCTTCGTCCAACCGATTGGGCCAGTCTTTCGGCAGGTTGTCCCACGAGCCTGATACGTAGTCGTCCTCGCCTAGTTTCGGAGCGCAGATGTGCCGTAGTACATGTAGAAGAAGCTTGTTCGTGCCTTCGCACAGTCCGTTGATCCATGGCGAATAGGCAGCCACGACCTGAGTCTTGCAGCCGCGTTCCTCGCAGAATGCACGGACCTCGTCGTTGTTGAAGTGCTTCCCTCCATCGGTCATGAAGGTATTGTATGCCACGTATGTGTTGAAGATTCGTTCGAGGGACTTGTTGGTAGTTGCAGCACTACCGGCAACCTTGAAACGATCAACGTAGACGTGTTGGGAAAAGACGTCGACGTAAACACCTAACGTTTTGTATCCACCCTTTCCTACGGGCAGGGAGAGGTAGTCGCCAACCAGAAGTTCGAAAGGGCGGCGTCGTATGACAGGTTCCAGTAGAGCATTGAGGTGTGTTGGCCCGAAGGCCTTGCACTGTGGACATGCTCGTATGGCGTCCAGGATGATGGCATCGAGCTTTGGGCAAGCTATGCAGTCATACAACGCGGTCTTGATGGAGTCGCGGCCCCAGTGGCCGCCCGAAGCGTGTTGCAGTACAGCTAAGTCGTTTGCCTCTGCACGAGATACACATTCGACACGCGCTCGCGCGCGTACCGCATTACCGCCGCGAAGGCGCCAGAGTTTGCCGTCTTCGATCAAGTACTCTGAGGCACAATGGCAAGCCCGCGCTTTGTTGCGGAGAGTGGTCTGTGACACTTGCTGTTGATCCAAAAGTGCGTCAATCACGTCGAGGAAGAGGGGTTCATTCTTGAATCGCTCGCATAGGCCGGGTTCGCGAATGGGTAGAACACGATCAAGCGGGGACACACCAAAAATATCGTGCATGAGCCCGGTTACTGCCTCCCAGTCTTCGCACACCTCCCATTCGCTGCCATCGCCGTCCTGCCGAGGTATACCGTCAAATTGGCGGCTTATGCCATCTGCAACAACATTGGTTCGGCCTGGTATGTGGCGAACGGCGACGATTTGATGGGACAACACGCCGTCACGCCAACGGGCATAGTGCGCATTAAGCTTGGTGCTATGCAGAACGTCGCGGAGGGCCTGGCAGTCAGTCTCGACCTCAATGGCAAAGCCCCAGATGATGTCAGAGAATTTGTCTAGAGACATCTTCAATGCGGCGAGCTCTAGGAGGAAAGGTGGGTACTTCGCTTCGGATTTGGACGTTCGTTTCGATGCAAACGCAATGGGGTGCGTTCGCGTCACGGATTTGCCGTTTGGCAAAACGGTCACCTGGCGTTGAGTTAGAACACCGGCGAAACCATCCTTAGATCCGTCGGTCGTGACAATGAAAGGGGTTCCGTCCCAACGAGGCGCCCGAAGGACGGGTTCGGAGGTTAAGATGCCCTTCAATTGGATAAATGTACGTGTGTGCACATCTTTCCAATGCGGTGCAAGGACGAAGCTCTGCATGATGCGTTGGTAGGCCGATTTGGAGCAAGACGTCGGTATCTTGACGAGGGCGAGTAGGTCATGCAGCGGACCCTCAATGCGAGCGTAGTCTTTGATGAGATCCCGGAAGTGTCCCGCAAGGCCGAGGAATGTTGCGAGGTTGGCTGCAGTAACCGGTCGCGGCCAGTTGACAATTGCGGTCAGTTCGTTCAGGTCGGGGAGGACGCCATCAAAGCCAACACGTGCGCCGCCAAACAGAGAATTGCGCATGAAGAACGAGCATTTGACAGCTGAAAGAGATAAGCGCTTTTCTCTGACCCATTTTAGAACGCGGATGATCTTATCTAACATGCCATCGAAGGTGTCCTCCGCGGCTCCGCCGTCGTCGACAAACAGCTTCATGGTCCCGTCCGTGATGAGGTCATGCATGTGCTTGAACGTCACATATGCGAACGTCGTTGGAGCGCCGGTCAAACCGAATGGCATCCGTTTGAACCAGAAGAATCCGTGGCCTTCAACATAGAATGCTGTGTACGGGCGCGATTCTTCGGCGACTTCGACCGCATAGAAACCGGATGCAAAGTCCCATGTGCTAACATAGCGATGCCCACTCAGTTGCTGTTGCATGCTTCGTGGGTCACCAGGGGGCATCGGTGGGATGTGGGTGACCTTGTTCAGCTCGTCGTAATTGATGCACATTCGCCACTTCTTCTCCTGTTCCTTCACTTGTGCAGACATAGGATCAGGAGGTGGGAAGTTACCACGGTCGTCAAAGAAAGGTGCCAGGTTGTTCTCTGCGCACTGCTTATTAACCTCGTACTTCAGTTGCTCGACCAACATGCCAACACCACTGTGAGCCTTCTGGGCAAGCGTCACGGGGGATACACATTTAACCCGCGAGGGTTCAATGAACTCAATGACGTCGGCTTTGAGCAGGTCATCGACGGTTCTCCCGAGATATTGGCGTTGCGGCATTGGAAACGAGCGCTGCCGCGGTTTCGTGTTGAACCGCGCGCCTTCAGGAATATCGAGACGGTGCACAGCATCAACAGCAGGCATGACTTCGCTCACGTTCAGTACGAAGCAGTCGGCGTATTCGGCGATAACGCCAAGGAACTTGTTGCGTTGCTCGGCGGTCAAATCGTCACCGATGGTCACCGCGTTTTGGACCGCAGCAACGTGTTTGGGTTTAAACGGTTCTGTGAGGCGCGTGAAGATACCAGCCTCGCCCACTGAGTGGATATCGTACAAGGGTGCTGAACCCGGGGTATGTGGGTGCTCGGTTGATTCGCCCGATGTGGGAGGGCCGTCAGCCATCACATCGGGTGTGCGAGGTTCGGGATCGGACTGTATGGGACAGGGCTGTACAGGGTTATCGTCCAAGAGAGTAGAAACATCGGGTGTTCCATCGCCGGTGAGAGGGCCTTGAGCCATCACCGGAGACTCGGTATCTTTCCAATCCAACAATAGCACAGATGAGGACCTATAGACATGATCGTGAGTAGACGTGAGCTTGTTGTGCAGGAGCACCGAGCGGCCATCGTTTCCTGTGAGCTGTACGATGTCAGGTCCGTATGTGTGAATTGCGTCGAAAGCACTTAGCAGGGGTTTTCCAACCAGGAAACTCCATGATCCTTGGCTGTCCAACACTTCGAACTCGCCAGTCGTGCGTACACCACCAATCTTGATGGTGCCTTGCCAATGAGCTTGCGAAGGAACAACTGTGCTGTTGGCAACGCGCAATGCTCGGTTCGACACTGTCCAATTGTTGAGTCGGTGCTTGATCTTCTCGAAAACGGATGTCGCCAGAATGCTTATGCGTGCGCCATCGTCAAACAAGCCACGGACTCGCGATATCTCGCCGGTTGAACTTAGTAGCGCGATATCCTGTACAAAAGGTAGGATATCAGGCTTCATTTTCTTACGGGCATCATCCACAGAGTAAAGGTCAAAAACGTCGTGTTCGACAGCAGAACGGATCGTTATAGAAGACGAGACGGGAAACTCTGTGGGGCTCGGAAAATGTCCGATGGGAATGTCCTCGCGCCCAGCCACCACGCGCACGAGGACTTCTGATTCAGGAGCAGTAAGGTAAACCTTAGATCGGGTCGAGCGCGCTCCTCTTACGCCGACCCGCCATCTTTTTCCTCAACGTCCTGGACCTGTGCCTGCCCATCCCAGTGACTATCCCATGCATCTTGCACGAGCCGGACGTCGTTGACACGGCCGGCATTCACTGGCCCAAGGGTGGTACCCAAGAGCGCGCGCCAGCGCGACTCGTAGCCATTCAAGCGCGTGGGAGCACCATTCGGAACAGTGCAGAACATGCCGCGGTGTCCGTGCGTTCCGCACTTATAGCACTCGCGCGAGCAAGGTGCCGCAGTACCCGGCTTGAGAGGGATGGGGGTGTCGTACGTGACACGCCCGGGATGTCCAAGCGGTGCAGTCGCGCTAGCGAGGGCCACCTCATAAGCAGCACAGCTAGCGGGCGTGTAGTGCGGAACCGGAGCAGCCGCGAAGGTCTCGAGCCGACGGCGCTGCTCAACAGTTGGTGCGGGAGGGGGAGCGCGCGGCTGGCGCTCGGGCAAAGCGCTCATCTGGCGGCGAAAACCAGGGGCCTGGTTCGCGGCATTACCGCGAGTGACATAAGGGCTGCCCACCGCCGCAGCTGCAGGTGGGACCGTAGCGCCACGAGAGTCCTGCGACGAGCGCCGCGAGTTACTGAGGCTGAGAGCGGCAATGCTCGCGTGCAGAGCCTCTATCTCCGCGGCCTGAGCACGCGCCGCCGTAGCCTTGTCTGCGAGGCGCTGAGTGTTAACCGACTTGATGTCACTGAAGAAGGCCTCGAGTGTCATATGCTTCGAGAAGTCGAGCAGGTCGAGAAGAGGTTCCGGAAGCTGGCGGCGAATGCTAAGAAGATTGTTGTTGGTGGTGAGGATCTTGGCCTCCGTAGCGAGCTGCTTGGCCTTCATAACATAGTCGACGTGAGCCCAGACTTCGGTACTGCCAACTTTGACCTTCTTGCCGACGTCTTTGAGGTCGAGCTTTAGATCGTGGAGTTCCTGCTGGATGTCATCAGACGAGAGGATGGCGGCCTCGACGGGCGGGAAGCGAGCGTCAAAGGCTGCTTCAATGGCCGTGTAAGACGATTTCTCGGCGCTGGAGAGCGTCGCGAACCAGTGATCGGCGACCGAACCGCTCTTGATGCACGTCGAGAACGCATTCGCCATCCCAGCATCGTCGGAGGTGGCGATAGAGATGCACCATTGCCGGAAACGGCGTTTGAAGTCGACTGGGTCGTCGCCGTTCTGGCCGGTGAACGATATGATCGTGAGAGACATGACGGGGCGTGTGTGCGACTGAGACGAAGCAGAGGGTAGTAAAGACGTGAGAGACGTGAGCCGTTGAGGTTTCGTAGACACCGAGGCTTTACTGGGCGTCGATGGGCGAGACAGTAAGTTCTCGAAGAACTCTTTAAGAGGTCGCTGCCGCGCGTCCGAGTCATGTAGTGCGGTGAGACTCGGAGATGAGACGCTTCGGTTAGGGGTGATGGCCGTTCGTGCTGGGGTGGATAGGAGAGCTCCTGACGATAGTTTTGTCGGTGAAGGCCAGGTCGAAGTGCTGCTTGAAGTAACAGAGCTTTCAGACGTGTCCGTGTCTAGAGGGGTTGTGAGGCGGGGGCCAAATCGTCCATTGATGCGAGATTGGTGCATCCAGTGCGAGCTGCGGCCTCGCTTCCGAGGGTGCTGAGTCTGATGAGGCGGGGGGTCGATAGTCATGATGAGGTACTGATGCTTGTTGTGCGATGGATTGTTTTCACTTCGGTGATCTCTAAAACGTAACCTGTAGCTCTGCGAACGCACTGGTGCAGGTCTGGATACGTAGCTTTAAACTTTCGCAGAAGCCTTCCTGCTGATGCCAATATGCTTTGATACTACACTCTCGTCACCAAGATGGAGAGGGCCGAGGGTCTCGGTGAGAAGGGAAGACCTCGGGCCAAATGCCCTCGTAGGATGATGATGGCTCTGCTCTACGACAAGACGCGCCCTTTCGGGCGATGCTGACTAAGCTACACGCGGCGACTCGCGCTCTATCCGGCTCTCCCTCGTCCTCTCTCTACTCTCCCTCATGCCCTACTCCACTGTCCCCCCTTAAATATTG